GTATTCAAAGATTACAAGTTATGTGATTTATGACTTTAGCATTTTACATTTTTTCTCTTTTTATTCATCAAAACATCCATTTTTGTTGCTAGGCAACGGATAGGAATGTTAAAAAATTATACGCTTCTGAATTCAAATTCTAAAAGACAAAATCCTCTGCTTTTAGGTAATATGCACAGGATGTCTGTATGAGGTCCATCACTGGAGTAATTAGGCATTGAATAATTCCAAAATCAAGGAAAATGCTGAGTCAGCAAAAAAGGAAAAACATGCATATATTCCCACATCTATCACAGATATATCTTTACATCTTATTTCTATATTTTTGATTGTGAAAACTGTTAAGATCATTATCTTGAGAATAACAGCAATGAAAAAGAAATTCTTTTTGTATTTACATTTAATTTGAGCCTGAAAGATAAGAGACTTTTTAGTCCATCGAAGCTGAAAATTGGCTGGTTGCTAGGGAAATTTCTCTACCCATATTTCCATGGTAACCATGAATCAAAACATTTTTCCTTTTGCATACATAGTTCATAGGGCAAAGGAAAACTATGTGTGGAAAATCATCAAATTCTGAGAACCCTCATATATCACCCTTTGCATGATTTTTACACAGAACTGTACTTAATTGAACAATTCTTTTAGAAGAACTAGGTACATCAATTGATGAACTTAAAATCATATATGGCGTATTTTGATAAGTTCAGACTAACTAAAATTAAAACTTTCTATTTGTTTTATTACTTTATAAAAAAGATAGGACTTTCCTGTAAATTACACACTTAAAAATCAATCTCGTTTCTTAGATATTACAAAGGGGGAGTTTCGATAAGGCTGTTTTTCGGCCCCTCAAGAAATGTATTGAAATTGTGATATGTTGTAGATAAAAGTGTTATCTTCCTAAAAATATGAAAAAAAAAATTATACTGCACATTTTCTGGTCACGTGATAATTAAAAACTTAAGTATACCCTCTTCCCTATATTTTTGGAGGGGTCATATTTAAAGGGGGTAATGGAGTTTATTTAACGTCAAAATCATAAATGAAATATTACAGATGTGAATAAAGGCATCAAATAACCAATTTCAATATTTTTCTTTACAGAAAATTAATGATATTTATTTTATTTGAATGCGTTTTAAGGTGCAAGATTTTTCTCGTGTTTTAATTGTAACTCTTCTTTCAAAGAGGATGAATGTAACATATAAAACGTATATGAATAATAAAGACAGGAATTTTCAAAAAATGAATTAATCGACAGTTTATACTTAGTCTTAATAATTAATATATAACATTTTCCCGTACGTAGAAAAGCAAATGTAAAGATATATAGACAAGAGATAGATAATCTTAAACTGTCATTGACAGGTGTTTGACACTGTTTGCAACACATTTTTGTCAACTGAAGTTATTGTGCTAAATATTGTATTAAAAATGTACCGTAAAATCATTAAATTGAATTTCTAAAAAAATTCTTGAAATTAATATATTTCGGAATTCGGTATGATTAAAAAATGCAGCTATTTATATTTTTAAAGTATATTTAAAAGAATCATTCTGCAATGTACATTGTATTTAATAATACCAAGCGTATTACTACCAGTCAAAATATTTTATCAAGACAGTAATTATTAGTCCCATACCGGTGAAGGTTTCCTCATCGTCTGTCCGCCTGTTTGTCCGTCCGTCCCTCTGTCTATCTGTCAGTCTGTTCCACTTGGTTTTTCGCACTTTTCTCTAAACGCTTGCAGATATTGAGCTGGCTTTGGTATTTATAGTGTATCCTGATGAGAAACAGAGTTTGGAATTCGAGTTTGAAATTCTGCTTCATTGATTTTTGACGGAATATTACAAATTTAAAAAAAAAGGGGGGGGGGGTCGGCGTTTTTTGTTTTGTTTTGTTTTTTCTAAAAAAAAAATCGCATATATTGAGCTGATTTTTGTTTTGGTATATGTGCTAAACTTGAGTTATAGATCAAGTTTGCATTTTCTCCCGCTTCAATGATTTTTCAAATAGGGCATTTTCAATTTTTAATGGAAACCAGGTTATACTTGGTGTGCCGATAGTGGACTATTATTGCTAATGCTTACAGAATGCGTGAATAAATAGCCAAATGATAAAAAACTAAAATACATTGAGTGCATGTCCTCTATTCATTCTTAAACTTAAAAGTATTTACGCACATAAAGAGGTGCATTATGTTTTCAGCAAAAATGAGACAATTCAGGCAAGCGAGGACCTACATGTAATTCCTCGCGCTTCCCAACTTCCTTTTGATGCTTATGTTGTTTCACCAACTCTAGTCACTATTTGATTTGTTAGACCATAGCCGCAATTTAAAATACCTTTGTAAATACCAAATGTATGTGTTAAATCATATCCTGCAGAAACGTACAAATCAACATCCGGTCTTAAAGGTAATCTACGTTCCCTACGCAGGTGAGTTAAGGCTAGGTATAGGTATTTCTATACAAATAAACTAATTAAAATGCCCAAGGACTATATCTATTGTACAAAGAAAGTTAAAATTTATTGTCTAATACATACTTGGTACCCACGACATGAAATAGCCAGTTCACATTATGACGTCATATTGTGACGTCATATTGTTCTTTACTACACAAGATTATAATGGATATCGACAAAAATGCTTTGGCGCAAGGGCATGCTCTATTTTATCTAACTGAAACAAGGTATATTTAGAAGAAAAATATTCCTACCTTTGCTGGTATTGCAGCACAAATATCAACAGCTCAGTTGTATAATTTCTATGTGTAAAGTTTTAAGTTGAATCAGGGTAAAAATGTACAGTCCGGTATAAGTTTCCTCAAATTCCGATCAAATGAGAAAATGCCTAGGATTTATGCAGCAGTTTTAATAATCTATAAAATATTCTTATTAACATTATACAATTTTAATGTAAAAATAAATAGGGTAATCCCTTGCGCCCAAGCTGTTTTGTTGGTGTGTTTTAATACCTCCAGTAGGTAAGATCAGTGACGTCATAATATGACGTCATAATGTATACTGGGTATAACTTATCGTGGGTAATAAGTATGCATAAGAAAATAAATCAAAACATTCTTTAAATAATAAATATACCTCTTACGCGTTTTTATTAGTTCATTTGCATAGAAACGCCTACACCTAGCCTTAACTCACATGCGTACATGTAGACCACACGGAATTATATGTGAACCTCCTCTAACAGATTGAAGCGAGGAGAGTTTCTATTCAAAGGAATGGCTATAAACATATCCTTGATAAAGAACGTTAATGAATGGACTAATCCTCAAACTTCTCTTTAGTTCAGTCAGTCATTCGGAAAATGTAATATCCGGCATCTGTAGCATCATCGGTGCATATTTCTTCAAGATAGGGATTATAGTTACATGAAAATGAGACATGCTCCAAAATATATACCCTGAGCATTCATCTAGAAAATGTAAGTCAGATCTAGCGTCTGAAGCAAGTCTGACAGTGTGCATCCGATGATGCATCATGAAGCATGTCTTCTCAACAAGTGCTTATAGCTGCACTGCTCCATAAACATTAACCTGCTTTAAGAACATTAACCTGGACATTCTTTAACTGAAAATGCAGCATCTGAAACCCGACAGATGACAAGAAAACACACTAGATCAGGCGACTCTGATGATATGAAGAAAATGATTAAAAAACTTTTAATAACCTGGAACGCCTATAACGATGGTATTACAAAAGCTCCCCCAACTTCGTGTAGGTGAGCTAAATATGTGACGTTATAGTTATACGCGGGCGACGAAATAAGTATGGAAATAACGATAGGATACGATTATGTTTTCTTATGTTAATATTTTCGAGAGTTCTCTTTGGTTTAGAAAAAAATATGCTACTTTTGGCTTTGTATTTTTACACGGCGTCAGATCAAGTGACCAGGAGCTTCTAATTTTAGATATGCAAATTTTAGACAATTTTCAATTTTTGGATATGAAGTGCACACGCGACACTCATCATATTTTAAGATATTAGTGTGCAGAGTATATCTAATTACTGAAGAAAACTAGGTGATTGTCCCTCATGCACTTCATATTCTAACCATCGATTTATAAATGCCACCCTCTTATATTTTCCCATTAGCCTAATGTTAAAGCATTTGAGGGTACATCTAAGAATGTGCCAACTACGGCGTGAATTCATCTCATATAAACTCTTGAAATATAAATAACAAAAATTAGCATATATATCTTGAATTCTTAACCAATTTTGAAAAAAATAAAAGGAAATTTATTTTTATGAAAATAAGTGGGCCGATAAGCGGCCTTATCGAAACTCCCCCTTTAAAACAATAACCGATTTATTTACCGACTCCGCATTAAAACATGTAAAATATCAGACACAGTTTAAAGTCAATTTAACTATATATAGAAATGTGGGGTTACTCAAGTTCAAAATCGGTAAAAATTTAAATTTGAACGTAAATAACAAATATCATGTTTATCTACACTCGATCTCGTATTTTTGATACGCCATATATAGCTTTAAAAAATTATGTCCAAAACGGAATTTTGTACTTTTGAGACCTTCCTTCCGGCGAAAAACTCTGTGTTCAATTTGTGTTGAGAAATTTAAAACACCGAGGTTTCTGCCGTGTATGCATTCGTTTTGCCACAATTGTTTATCTTCCTACATAGAGAGCAGTTGCAAATCTACGGAGCCTTGTTTGGGCTTTAATTGTCCTTTATGCCGTGAGTATGTTCCAAATAATGGCGCGTTTGAAAAACCAGAGGAGTGGGCCAGGAATTTTCCTGTGAATGATTTTTTAGAAAGCATTTTAGAGAAACCAGACGAACGGCTCTGTGCGGCTTGTTTACGAGATAACGAAAATGAATCGGCAACTGGATTCTGTCTGTCTTGCATGGAATATTTATGCTCAGTATGCACGAAATATCACAAAAAACATTTACTTTCTAGAGACCATACTGTATGTAAGATGGACGAAATAAAATGTACAAAAATGCGTGAATTTGGAAAATATTTTAGATGTACTGAGCACAATAAAGCAATAAGTTTATTTTGTAATGACCATGAGCAGCCATGCTGTTTCATATGCACTGGAACATGTGGAGCAAAGCATAGGGAATGCAAAAGTATAGACTCTATTCAGAAAGCTGCTTCAACAGTTAAAGACAGTGGAAAACTGGATTCTTTATTAAATGAAGTTAGAATCATAGAAAAGAAGTTGAAAGATGCCAAGCGAGAACAGGAGAAGAATATTTCAGAGCTAGAAGATTCCGTGGATAAAATGACAAAGGAAAGTGAAAAGGAATTTAAGGAACTTGTTGACCACATTGAAAACTTGAAAAACAAACATGTAGATGAACTTGCAGTTGCCCAAAAGAGAGGAAGACAAGAAATGGACCAATGTACTAGAACACTAAATGATGGAATGAATTGTGTGAATTACTGCTATCAGAATGTAGGAAAAGCCAGGGAAACAGAAAATGAAAATGAAATACTAATGAATTATTACACGGCAAAGGAGACGGCCTCACAACTGAATCAATTTAGTTTTACAAAGAAACACATAAAAATATCTTTGAAGAAAGCCTCTATTTTGAAAAATCTTAAAGTTGCAAAATCAATTTTAGATATACAATGTTCTGAGTCAAAGCATCAGGTGTTGCTTAGTGTAAGTGCTTTGGCATTGCCTCGTGCTCCTGCATTTAGCATTAAAGAAAAAGATGCCAACATATTTACTGCATCTTTTCTGGCAAACGACACTTTTGCAATTATTGACCACAGGGTCGATGGTAGTTGTTTAATTTATGACAACAAATGGGCTAAAACTAAAGTGATTGAAGATTTAAATAGGCCGTTTGAAGTAGCACAGAATTTAGACGAACTTTATGTGACTTGCGAAGGCACAAAATCGATTGAAGTGTTTTCTGCAAATGATTTCCACAGATTGCGAACAATACCGATGAATGAATCGGTTTATGGAATAAAAATCTGGAATGAGGTGTTTTATGTAGCGTGTGCGACGAAAATATTAAAAACCGATCTCTCTGGGAATAAAATAAAAGAATTTAAAACTGAAGGTAAAAATAATATATGCATTCTTGTAACAAATAATGGACTTATAGTATACAGTAACTGGGTACTTAATATAGTAACCGCAATAACAGAGCAGGGAGATATCGCCTGGAAATATGAACATCTCAGCATGAAACAGCCATGTGAACTTGATAAAGATTCTGTTGGTAATGTTTTTGTTGCTGCCAAGGAAAGTAATAATATTCATGTATTGTCTAGTGCTGGTGACCTCATTAAGGTTTTTGAAAACATTCCTAAGCCCATCTTTTTAAAAATTGATGAAAATAAAAATATTTGCTGTGTGTGTAACAGACATAATGTTGTAAATATTTATCGAATATAAAACAATGATGTTTTCTGACAAATGACTGAATGCAGAAGCTGCATCCTTTCTGTTAAAAAGAACAAAGGAATTAATTCTGTACGAATCCCATTTTGTGAATCAGCTACATTTTCCTAAAATTTCTAGACTTGATCGAATTACTTGTACACAGGCAAAATTTCCAATTTCTATCGCCAAGCTTTGATCTTGTGATGTTAACAGGGTCTATTGGCTAAATAGATTTTGTCGTTTACCTCTTTGTCACAAAAATTGAAATTATCGAAGTACAGCAGGCAAAGACTTTCTCTCTCTGCCTTTAAAAATAAAATGATCTTATTATGCACAAAATTATTATAATAATTATTTAATAATTTATATATTACTCATACATGATTTTCATTTTTTACAGAGGGTTTGGCTACATTATAATCTTTCTTGAACGTACATGTATTAAGATACACCATTATTCTGAAACATTCAGGAATAATTCAATTTTGCAAAGCTTTTCCTGTAATATGTGGACTTGCACCATTTTTCTAAAGATATGATTAAAAAAGATATATAATACGAAAGGAAAAAAATCTACTTTTTAAATTGACAAATGATTGTAAGTGAACCATCGGTGACTCTAAATTTGATGGATACTAAAACTCTAAATCTGAAAAAGTTCTATAGTAACATTTCTTTGTAAAACAAAGTTCCATCGTAAAACAATGTGCATGTATAAAGTTAGAATTTCAAGTATTAACGTGTGCAATAAGATAAAAACTAGTTTACTTTACAAAACAAAACTATAATTACCGTTAAGTTATAGTATCTCAAAGGAATGTATGTTGTTAATAGGTTGACTCTAAGAAGTGGTCATATTGTATGTAGTAACTGGCACACTTGTACTCTAATTATGTAGCAACTAGCACACTCTAATGTATGTATTAATTATAGCATACTTGTACTCTAATGAATCTATTACTCTAATGGATGTAGTAACCGGCAGACTTGTACTTTAATGTATGAAGTAACTGGCACACCTGTACTTTAATGTATGAAGTAACTGGCACACCTGTACTTTAATGTATGCATTAACTGGCACACCTGTACTTTAATGTATGAAGTAACTGGCACACCTGTACTTTAATGTATGAAGTAACTGGCACACCTGTACTTTAATGTATGAAGTAACTGGCACACCTGTACTTTAATGTATGCATTAACTGGCACACCTGTACTTTAATGTATGAAGTAACTGGCACACCTGTACTTTAATGTATGAAGTAACTGGCACACCTGTACTTTAATGTATGAAGTAACTGGCACACCTGTACTTTAATGTATGAAGTAACTGGCACACCTGTACTTTAATGTATGCATTAACTGGCACACCTGTACTTTAATGTATGAAGTAACTGGCACACCTGTACTTTAATGTATGAAGTAACTGGCACACCTGTACTTTAATGTATGAAGTAACTGGCACACCTGTACTTTAATGTATGCATTAACTGGCACACCTGTACTTTAATGTATGAAGTAACTGGCACACCTGTACTTTAATGTATGAAGTAACTGGCACACCTGTACTTTAATGTATGAAGTAACTGGCACACCTGTACTTTAATGTATGAAGTAACTGGCACACCTGTACTTTAATGTCTGTATTAACTGGCACACCTGTACTTTAATGTCTGTATTAACTGGCACACCTGTACTTTAATGTATGAAGTAACTGGCACACCTGTACTTTAATGTATGAAGTAACTGGCACACCTGTACTTTAATGTATGAAGTAACTGGCACACCTGTACTTTAATGTATGAAGTAACTGGCACACCTGTACTTTAATGTCTGTATTAACTGGCACACCTGTACTTTAATGTCTGTATTAACTGGCACACCTGTACTTTAATGTATGAAGTAACTGGCACACCTGTACTTTAATGTATGAAGTAACTGGCACACCTGTACTTTAATGTCTGTATTAACTGGCACACCTGTACTTTAATGTCTGTATTAACTGGCACACCTGTACTTTAATGTATGAAGTAACTGGCACACCTGTACTTTAATGTATGAAGTAACTGGCACACCTGTACTTTAATGTATGAAGTAACTGGCACACCTGTACTTTAATGTATGAAGTAACTGGCACACCTGTACTTTAATGTCTGTATTAACTGGCACACCTGTACTTTAATGTCTGTATTAACTGGCACACCTGTACTTTAATGTATGAAGTAACTGGCACACCTGTACTTTAATGTATGAAGTAACTGGCACACCTGTACTTTAATGTATGAAGTAACTGGCACACCTGTACTTTAATGTATGAAGTAACTGGCACACCTGTATTTTAATGTATGAAGTAACTGGCACACCTGTACTTTAATGTATGAAGTAACTGGCACACCTGTACTTTAATGTATGAAGTAACTGGCACACCTGTACTTTAATGTCTGTATTAACTGGCACACCTGTACTTTAATGTCTGTATTAACTGGCACACCTGTACTTTAATGTATGAAGTAACTGGCACACCTGTACTTTAATGTCTGTATTAACTGGCACACCTGTACTTTAATGTATGAAGTAACTGGCACACCTGTACTTTAATGTCTGTATTAACTGGCACACCTGTACTTTAATGTCTGTATTAACTGGCACACCTGTACTTAAATGTATGAAGTAACTGGCACACCTGTACTTTAATGTCTGTATTAACTGGCACACCTGTACTTTAATGTATGAAGTAACTGGCACACCTGTACTTTAATGTATGAAGTAACTGGCACACCTGTACTTTAATGTATGAAGTAACTGGCACACCTGTACTTTAATGTATGAAGTAACTGGCACACCTGTACTTTAATGTCTGTATTAACTGGCACACCTGTACTTTAATGTATGAAGTAACTGGCACACCTGTACTTTAATGTATGAAGTAACTGGCACACCTGTACTTTAATGTATGAAGTAACTGGCACACCTGTACTTTAATGTATGAAGTAACTGGCACACCTGTACTTTAATGTCTGTATTAACTGGCACACCTGTACTTTAATGTATGAAGTAACTGGCACACCTGTACTTTAATGTATGAAGTAACTGGCACACCTGTACTTTAATGTATGAAGTAACTGGCACACCTGTACTTTAATGTATGAAGTAACTGGCACACCTGTACTTTAATGTCTGTATTAACTGGCACACCTGTACTTTAATGTATGAAGTAACTGGCACACCTGTACTTTAATGTATGAAGTAACTGGCACACCTGTACTTTAATGTATGAAGTAACTGGCACACCTGTACTTAAATGTATGAAGTAACTGGCACACCTGTACTTTAATGTATGAAGTAACTGGCACACCTGTACTTTAATGTCTGTATTAACTGGCACACCTGTACTTTAATGTATGAAGTGACTGGCACACCTGTACTTTAATGTATGAAGTAACTGGCACACCTGTACTTTAATGTATGAAGTAACTGGCACACCTGTACTTAAATGTATGAAGTAACTGGCACACCTGTACTTTAATGTATGAAGTAACTGGCACACCTGTACTTTAATGTATGAAGTAACTGGCACACCTGTACTTTAATGTATGAAGTAACTGGCACACCTGTACTTTAATGTCTGTATTAAGTGGCACTGATGTACTCTATTGTATGTAGTAACTGGCAAAATTCTACTCTTGTATGTAGTAACTGGCATACATGTACTCTGTTAATAGGGATGAGGATGGTACAATCCCATACTCTGTTCTACTATAACCCTAATCTGGAATTCACCTATGGACTCAACAAAGGCATCAGTGACAATATTATATTGTAGGAAAGAATAATGATAACAATTATGTATTTTATTGAGGAATATAAACTTATTGTATTTTATATATTGTGTTTTTCCATGCTAAAATATGAATGTTTTATAAAATTACAAATTCATTACAATTATTTATATTGCTAGAAATTACATACTTTATGGATACTTATTTTTGTTCCTTATGTTCAAAGCGAAAAGATGAATACGAAGAAAATGTAGATTTTACATTCATTAGATCAGCAGTGTTTCATATTGAATATATTATCTTGTTGAAATTATGTAAATTTTAAATTGTATTTTTTTTTACGTTGTACATATTTGATGTATGATACACATTAATAGCAAAGTTCTACAGGCAACTGAGATTCTTCTGTAAAATCTTTCTTTATAAAATAGTTAAGATTATTTGTTGATAGAGTAAAGCGACAAATATAGGTAAAAATTCTTTCTAGATATTAATAAGCAACAAGTTTATGAGCCTCTATTGAAAGGCGTAACGATTTTACATTGCTTAAGGAAATATTTACAGAAAGGAGAGACTATTTTTCAGATATGTATTAATCTTGGTCTTATCTCATTGAAAATGACTTGAGTAGTAATTTTGCATTAATACAAGTTTTGAAAATGAAACAAAAAGATCTGGAAAGGTCACTGAATTGTAGAGCTCTTTCAGTATATTTTCAGTCACTTTTCAGTTAATTGAATGACAGAGCTTTATCCCATGCAAGTTATGATTTACTGGTATACACGTTTATGTAGAATATTCAATGCTTTATAGTTGTATATAGATTTTTTTCACGGATCTGACAATTATTTTTTTTTTCAATATTTTCGCAAAAACGAAGCACGAGTGAAAAATAAAAAGAGAAATCCTGTCTCATAATTGAAGTAAATTTCATGTTTAATTGTGAAATATTGAATTTTCTGTTCGTTATATTTTCTCGAATTTTCCCTTTGCCTTGATCTGTCTTTTCGAAACACAATGTCATAGGCTGTGATGTCATATTTTAGCGATTGTCAGTCATAGCTTAGCTTTTATGAGATTAAAAACAATGGTAACATGGATTCTAGAAACTTTGGCAGATTTAGTATCTGTCAGGATGGTTTTTCTACTCTTTCTATCTTAGAACAGGCCAGGGAGGATAGTTTAAGCAACATTCTTCATGAAGTGAACTAAAATCGAAAGTTTTGCCAAACTTCTGATGTTCTTTAACACCGTGAAAAAATATGACTTTGATATTCTTTCACACTTTGACAAAATATCACTTTCTTTTATTCATTAAATAAATAACAATATTTCACTGTTAAAAATGTAATAAACATATTTATTTTCTTGATTATTGCAAGATTGACTAGGATTGCATTATCATGTGTCCTTATTTTTTCTTTGAATTGGCACCGTATAAATAAATATCAATAAAACATTCGCTTTTGTTTTAAAATTTTGCGAACATAATATAAACAATGGTTTTCAAGACTATTTTACTTTGCCCTGCCTGACTTCAAGTATCATTAGTATTTGAAGGCACCTGATCCCACCTCTGATGTTTTTGGTGGTCCGTGTTTGGTCTGGTCCCGATTCGTATAGTCTAAATGGACTTTGAGCTTGAATGCTGTTCGTTATCTCCGTATTTCATGTATCATTATTACATGAATACCGTTATACCGCGTGTCCACTGTATTTACAAATATGTATATGCAGTTTAATCAAGTAAAAGGGAAAGGAAATCAATCACGGTATCAGTGTTTGGCTCGTGGAAATATTGGATAAAAAGATAGTTAATAAAAAATACAATAAAACACACTTATAACGAAGTACTAAGGTCGGATGATTTTGCTTCGTTATAAGCGTAATCTGTTATGGCCTTAAAGTTCACAATTATACATTTTAACCCAATGGGAAATAAACATCATTTTTGAAGCTTTTTGAGTTTTGAGGTGTCAATTCGTTATAAGCGTGTTTGCTATAAGCATATTTTACTGTACATCTCACAAAAGAAGGACAGCGTAGGACAATACACTAAAAATGTCAATGCAAATTGGGTTTATGATGTCGACGATAGAGTCTTTGAATAGAAATTAATAGATGGCTTGTAGTTGAACTATTTCATGTTTTGAATATTTCATTTGTAGTCCAAAATTGTGTCAATTAATTCAGTGACCGTTCCCTACTTTTTTGACGCATTTCTGTATTTTTTTTATTGTCAAGAAAACTCTATATTTAATGCTAATTATGCTTGATTTTATGTATAGTATTTTTAGTGTTTCATTTTTCGTTCGTATGCTTGTTCGTGTACTTTTTGGAAAAGAAGTAATTTATTACTCTGTACTCTAAATTTCTGCATTCCTTAGAGACAAATTTAAAAATGAGGCTAATGTTGCTGACAAACCTCAAGAAATGGGAGCTGTGGAAATGGGAACTGTTGGAAACGGTAATTTTAGATTTTTTTATTTGAAGTATACTTTTTTGCAAAAAAGGCTCTGTTAGCTAATTTTGAGTATAGGAATTCACTATCTTCGTAATAAGCGTTTCCTCTTTGTTTATTTTTATTTCGGCATCCTCTCTGTTTTGGCTCTGTATCGGATGACAGCTTGCTGAGAAGATTAATTTGGATTGCTCTGATCTACTAAATTTATAACATCTTTAATTACTTTAAATGTACCCGACGTCAAGTAAAGGTATGGATGGTGGTAAATTAAAATCTTTACGTTGACACAAGTGAAAATCATTGCATTATATTTTCATCATTTTTTTTAAATGTAAGAAAAACCAAAACAACAAAAAATTATAATTATATAATTAAATTTTTTAACTGAATATCAAAAAAATTTTACACTACCGAAAAATCTTACAAACGATATTTTTTTCTGTACCATTTTTTCGTCATAAGTCTATGTTTCCCTTAAAGATCAAGGCTGGTAAAGAAACAAAATAACAAGCTTAACAGCAAAGAAAAAGTTTTATTTTATGTAAAAGTGGAAACCTCAAAAGTATTGAATTATATACTCAAATAAATGTAACACAAAGCATTCTTTAATTTAAAAAATATAAATGAAACAATGATCATAAATATGTACAATTAGTAAAAAAATAGAGATTGCAACTGATATGTCATTGACCCATGCCAAGTTTTGGTTCCGATGCCAAATTCGTTTGATGTGGAAACATAATCGGTGTTTCCTATGACTTACACTTAAAGGTTTCCTTCATCTCTCATTGAAAAATTGTCAAAACTAAAGACCACATTTATGTCTATTAAAATATTAATGTTTAATATCCATCACCAGATGAAATATGCAAAATGACTTGTATATCTACGATTGTGCTGTTACGGTTCTATATAAGTTAAGGTATAAAAGTTAATTGACAAATAATAAATTAAAAAAAAAAAAAATCTGTAAATCTTTTCATAATTGTCTGCATGACATTCTCACAGTTGCGATAATTTGCTATAAGTAAATTGAAAATAAGGATAGAATAAAGCAATCAAATGAATTCAAACTTTTTGTATTAAAGTCTTATCACAGTTTTTTTATTTTGTGAAACAATTTTGAAATATGTATATAAACGTTAAGGTGGCATTGATCCAAACATGTTTCAAACTCAGATTTCAATGTTAACTGTGAATTAATTATGATTTAAATTTGGTTGAAATTTGCTTACATTAAAGAAGATAATTCTGATTCAATACGATATTTTTTAAAGAAAATATACAGCCATGCCAGACAGATAAAACAAAGGTAGACCTTGAAAGGGAGGGGGAGCATTCCTCTTAGGCCTAATCATTAACTACATAATTATGTAAACAATAATTGTTAAGGTATATTCGGGGAACGGTTGTCTGACAGTTAAGCATGGGGATTCACAATCGGATAACAATAATATATGTGAATAAATTTTGAGAAAAAAAATATATATTCAAAATTCAAAAATTTGCAACGTTGTAGGCAACGAGTTTAGCGGTGATTTGTGATTAATGGAGCGAAACCCATTGTTTACACAGCCTCATAATGGGATGTACCGGTATAGACCTGCACCTGGTGGGTGTATAAACAATGAACAGCTCAGCGCTGTAAGTGCCGGTTTGCTAAAAATTGTTTTAAACCATATATATCCAATAGTTTTCACTCAAGTAAGATATGGCATTTTAAATGAACAAGAAGCAGAAAGGACTAAACAGTCATATGAGTGTACATGTTTCCAGGCAAGTCTTTTTTTTATTTTCTGAGTTATAAGAAATGTTATTTTCTTTTAGATAAAAAATTAGCAGCCGAATTATATTGACTAGACACGGATGAATTTGGATTGACATTATATTAAAAAGAAAACCTTAGCAAAACTATGATTATTAGAAGCCTTATTATGGAAATTCTTTTAAAATACAGCGTAAAGAATTGAATCTATTTTGTTATGCATAATGACATCTACATTAGAGGTTTTCAAATTGTACTCCAGGTTAATGATAACAATATAATTCATTAACATTATTTTTATGTACATGTATTTTTCAATCAAAATTCCTCTATCACTTTCGAAAAAGTTTGCATCTTGCAAAGAAAAGAGTGAAATGACGCAATTTTATTTGCATTGTCTTCCTTTTATACTTTCTCTTTGTTAGGTCATGACAGTTTGTAACAGCATATTTCCGTAACTCAGTTTTGCTACTTCTGCAATTGTTGAGAATAACCCAAAAATGTGAAAAATTTACGAATGGATGAAAACGGAGAGAGTCTCATTTGACTGAGGTGACCAAAATTATAATGCTTAAAGTATAACATGTTCATGCATATGTTTTAGATTTTTAAAAAGGTTTTCCTCTCTTAATCCACTCTTCTGTTATTCGCAGAGGTAAAATATGGAATTTCTTCTAAGTGTCCGACTCTGAAATGTAAATGATTTCAATTCACCGTTATCAATATTTTCATTCATGAACAAACAGTTCGATTAAAGATAAATATGACAAGAATATATTCTATCTGTATTGTTTTGGTTTTAACGCATTATCAATTACTTTTAAAAAAAAAACTATATGTTAATTGTAAAAAAAATTCACCCCTGACAATTGAAAAAAATGTGATAAATAAAGCGTCAAATTTCGTGAAATCCTGATTAAAGAAAAACCCTTTAATTTTAGCTTATAAATAAGATTGTCAATAAAACAAAATTACCGTTCTCATCATCAGAATCAGAATCAACTTCGAAAAACATAGATCGTTTGATTTTAATTCCTGGTTCTCTTAAGCGTCTAGGAAACGAATTCCTCCAATTTTCTTCAGATAATGATTTTCGAATAGCTACGTATATAGAAAATAAGAAAGTAAATCCTGTTAATGAATCCGAAGCAGATTACATCAATGTCATTTACACACACTTTACATAATTTTGTATCACGGTATTGCATTTATTATTATACAAAATATCACTGTTATCAATGCAAATAAATTTTATCGAATCAGATTAGGAAATAAAGGAAATAGTCCAATCGTATTAGGTAATTCAATCGAAAAAAAGTTTGCTTTTAAGAGAAATCTGAAAGAAAAACAAATTAAGGAAGGTCCTTATCAATTTTTTGTAGAGATATGTACATTTTCAAATTTCTGCCAAATGTTTGTTTTTCTATGAGGATTTTCTGAGACCATCATTTGTACTCTCAAAACTTTAACCTATGTTCTTAACTCTGAAATACTATATAGATTCAGGAAGGTTAGTATGATATTTAGAGATAAAATTCTGTTTCAAACTTACAATCTGGTCTTAATTTCATCTGTATCTGCAACAACAACAAAAAAGAATTGTATTATTATGTAATATATTTTACTATTATTATAATTGTATTATTACATTTTTACAGACGCATTCTCTTCAAACAAAATTAGTTTGTCCCTGTTTGGCAAGTATAAATATGTTGTAGGGCTGTTGAAAAAAAAATCATTCGAATTTTTGCTCAGTTTGAATTCTCAGAGAGAGAGAGAGAGAGAGAGAGAGAGAGAGAGAGAGAGAGAGAGAGTTGAATAATACCAATACACGAGATTCAATGTTTTCATTTAGTATTTTCCAGTTCTAGCTAAAATACTATATACAATGTACTCTTACTTTGAATGTATTTCGATAGAGAAAAATACAGTTTAATACAAGAGTAAATTAATCTAACAGTGACCTTGATATTTAACCATATTTAGATTCTAATTAAAAAAAAAACTCTTCACAGAGTTATTTCAAGGTTTGAATAGATTTTAAGTTAGGATTTATATGCAAGGAAGTCCAGTAATTTTCCTATTCGTAGAAAAGGTGTTACTTTTGAGGTCTTTCATTAGCCATAGCAATGCTTGTGCCAATTTTATTATGTGATCATATAATACCCCAGGGAAATGGAACATCATCCAAAATACAAGTCACTCAAAACTCAAAATAATCGAAATTACCTTTTGAATATTTTCGTTTATACTCTTTTGTAATTTCTTCTGGTGCCTTATTAACTTTCTACTCATTTCCTGTGAATGTACAAAATACTTCAAGGTAAATTAATGCAAAGTATCAAATCGTCCGCAAAAATATATCTTTAGCAATTTAAAGTATTTCCACAAGAAATGCGCACATCTAAAACAAATGAAAAATTTCATCTACAGTCTCGAGTGATAGAGAAGTCATACATTTACTTTAAACCCTTGCAACTTTGTGACCGTGTAATATTTGTTTAAATAACATCGACTTTAATATTCATTCAAAAATATCACAAAATCCTTTCTTAGTTTTTATAAATAAAATGAAAAACAAGGTGCTTCGTATCTTATTTTGTAAACATAAGTTAGAATTAGCTAGGACCCACCTTAGTCTGTTTTATATTACAGCATAAGACATACTTAACTAGTATTTAGGAAGGTCCTAAGGTTGCGCCTCAATCATACATATAACGATTCTTGAATAAAAATCTTTGCAATATTTATCTTGCCAGCCCTGAAAGCTTAAATAGTATATAGATTTTTTTTTTTTCAAAACTGCCTGTTGGTTTGACCTTACCGTGATTTTATTTTCTTCTTTAATATCCATTTCACTAAAAAATGATGATGTTAAGGTAAAACAAAAATTTCAAAGTCTAAATGGAAAATAAAATGTATTTTCTTTGTATTGCAAGGAATGTTAATACTCACCCCTTAGTGATTAAAGCTGCCTGGCCCTCAACTTTTCCAGTTTTTTTCTGAATTTTAAGTCGTAGTTACTATCATATACAAAAACTGTTCAAAAAAGAAAAAAAATAAATGTAAAACTTGTAAATGAATAAAAAAATTCCACCCGATTCAAGCTGTAGTAGAACAAAACAGTATACAAATACTGACCTCGTACAAACATGGGTATTTTGTTAAACTTTTTGATATCATCATCATCATGAGTATATGGTGTGTGATGACGCTTAGTTTTGACATCTTCATCATCATCTTCATCATAATCATTACCATCAGCATCATCATCATCATCAGTGTTGCAGCATTTTACGGTACCATAACGGGCTATTGACAACACTGCCCGCACAATCGCATGGGTGAAACAGAATGGAATTGCAAGATGCTGCATGTGTACAGGGAAAATACTTTTGACGCTGATCTCCTCCAAAAAGTCGGTTTGAAGTTGTGACCAATAAAATTTGGATTTATCGTGTACCTCAGAAAATGTGTGACTGTAAACAAAAAATAAACGTTTTCATTGATTTTTTGGGGGGGTGATTATTTTATTTAGAGTATTGTATACTTTGCTATTACAAAATACATGTACATGTATTAAAAGATTCAAATCAAACAACCCTCTGATATTTTCCTTCATTGACGACGAACCAAAAAATAAATGCAAATTTCCAATAAATGTATGACGAAAGTCTAAATCAAATCCTTACGTTTCAAAATGAGTAATATTCTTTCAGGACAAATACTTGAAACAGTTGAACCAACGAATGGTTTAGACATGGATGCTATTACATATTTTTGTCTTCAAATTCCATGGCCTTCTTAGAACTGATCTTTATTTGAACCCGTTTGCTCTACATATATTTCAAAGATATTTTCCGTTTGAAATGGTGCAGAATTACATCCTTTGAAAAAGCATGTTGAATACTGTATACAGGGAAATTTTTGCCCCGTTTTATTTTCGCCCCTTTTCGCCCTAATCACAGGTGGCCTAAATTTAAAAGGAGCGACTTCAAAAAACATGATCTAATTTCTTAAACAAAACTGTGAGTTGGGAAATTTAAAAGGGGAAAAATTGTTCTTAAGTGCAAAAATGACCTTTTATACAGTATCCACTAGTCAAGCAAAAGCTTAATTTCGTAGTCCAAAGGACTTAGAAAGATGCTTATCCTAAGGGCTGGGAACAAGAAATTACCGGACTAACAGATAAAAGGGAAAATCAAACCTGTACATGACAATCAGCAAATTTAAAAGCAATATGACTGTTATGAGCACATAGACAGCTTTCAGATAGGGGGCCAAAAATGTCCCAAGAGATGACGGACAACGTTCTTGTATTCCTGCTCTATATATAGTTTTGTTGAAGGTACAGTCAGGTTCTTTCACTGCAATTATTCAGATACACAAAGGTATTCTAAGATATTACTTATCTTTTTCTGTGATAAATTTTCTTTTCCTTAAGGACACAAATTTGAGGAAATATCTTGAACATATTTTTTATCAATTAAACTACATACTCTTTATACCGTATAGAGAAAACCTGATTGTGTAAGAATTCGGTCGAGCCTAACTGAGCCTGGAAAAACCGTTTATGCATGCACTAAGACTGAATTAACATGGCTGTTGTAATGCAAATATCGTATTTCTGCAAAACCTAACATAGAAAATGATAACCCTTTTACAGTCATGTACCAGTCACCGGCGGACTTCGATGAAAAGCTTCACGCCTTGGAATACTAGTATCCCCAGGGACGGGTTTGTTAAGGCTTCGCCCAGATATTCAACTTGCCTATACAATATGACGTCATATTAAGATGTATGACGTGATTTTTAGAGATAAAGATTTCTTAAAATCTATATTAAAAGTTTTATTTCAGGTCAAGGAAATAAATGGAAACATATTAAGCATAATAAAAACTAAATCTTGTCATTTTTGGATGGTATAAATGGTAATCTTCAAAGGGGTTAAATACCGAACTCATAACGTTATAACTGTTGATCAAATATTTGCCGAGAAAAAATGAAACTTAGGAGAATTCATGTAAACATGTATGTGAAATAGTAGTAGTTTAAAAGTATATACCGGAAATATCGTGTATCATTAATGAGAAATAAAGATTAATAATCATATACGCTGATTTATTCTTATAACTTTTTCTTATAATTAAGACAGAAAGTGTTTTGAAATCCCGATCAGTCTTTCCTATGTCGTTCATAACAGCAAAGATGCAAAAGTTCTACATAACGCTGCATACTTTGAAACATAATTTTTGTTTGTATCGAAAGCTCGTATTCTATAGTACTTGAAAAGTACTGCTAGAGTCATGTGGTTAAAAATTCCTCGATCGTTTTTACAAAATGTATAAATTTGGTAAGGTTTCAAACTATAAACTTTAGAATATTCTTTTCTGAGAAAGGAAAGTAAGATTCTATCAGCACTATTGGTGACCCATTTTTGTATTTGCACATAATTATTTTTTCGAACAGAAATTGTAGCCCGCGTGGCGCAGTGGTTAGAGCGTCTGCTCTAGAGTCGCGAAGTAAGGAGTTGATCCTTACGTCGCGGGTTCGAATCCCACTGTGGAACGTGGAGGCCGGTCCTTCAGATGAGACCGTATAAACCGAGGTCCCGTGTCGCAGTAGGTGCTGGCACGAAAAAGATCCCTCACTGCTCAATGGCCGTAAGTGCCGAGTATAGGACAAAATTTGCAGCTCTCCACCGGCAATGGTGGCGTCTCCATATGAGTGAAAAATTCTCGAGAGGGACGTTAAATAACATACAATCAATCGAACAGAAATTATCCCCGGGGTAGTGTTGAACTTTTCATTTTTTCATTAAGGCAATAATTCTATTTATAGACGTCACTACTTATACTATGCTTATATAAATCATAACCGTTCATTATGTGCAATCAAATACTTTTTAAATGTCTTACGTTTTTCCACATCCAGATTCAGTTCGCCAAATAACATCCAATATCCATTCCTTGTAATTTTCTCCAGTTGTTCAAAAGTAAATTCGGAGTTAAATTAAGGCATTTTTCTATTTATAGACGTCACGTGATGACGTCGTAGTGGAGTGCTTCTTTTAGCCTAAGGCTCAATGACGTGTATACAATGGATAATAATAGTTATTGTTTTACCTATGGCTTTTCCGATTTATTTTACGAAAAAGTCCAAATTCGCCGAAAAATGATCTGGACACTGCCTTAACATACGTGCGTTGGATTTAATTCTACAAGTGGTAATCCAACTTATACTCATAGTTCCCTTTCTAAGGAAGAAATTCTTCAAAATCATATGCCAGTTTTGAATATTTTTAATATTCCAAACAACCAAAATGAATTTGAATTACCATATATATATTGGATTCTGTGCAACAATATATTCGAGAAGTGGTGTAAATCAGATGTGGATACTTAAAAATTCCAAGGAACTTTGGAAAATTTGAAATCACAAGATTTTACCAAAATCAACAGCTTAAAAACTTACGACATTTCAACTTTATACACAACCATTCCCCACGATAAATTAAAGTCCAGGCTTTTTTATATATCATTGACAGCTGCTTTTTCAATAGAAATGGAACTCGTAAATTTAGTTACCTCTTCATTGGTCATTTGCAAAAATTATTTTGATAAAAAACATTCCAATTGTACACACAAGTACTCTGAAGTTGACATTAAAAAGATGCTTGAGTTTCTGATTGACAATATCTATGTACCTGAGTATTAAGCAAATAAACTAAGTGTATGATTATGATGAGCAAGGATGCCTCTTCCAAAATTGTGAAATTCAGGGCCCCTGGTTCAGGGGTTCTGATGTCAGGCCAATAAGTTGGGGGCTCTATTGATTATATCGTGAAAATGCATAAATTCTTTAAATCATTTTTTTCTCTGCCCCTGGGTATTTAGAAGACAAAGTAATTGCATAGTTATGATGAACAAGGATACCTTTTCCAAATTTGTGAAATTCATGGCCCCTGGGTAAAAGGTTCTGGTGGTGGGGTTGGGTTCTATTGATTACATAGTGGAAATGCATTATTTCTTTGAAATCAAAATGCATTAATTCTTTGAAAATTCTTCTGCTCCTGGAGATCTAGGAGGCAAAGAGAGAACAAAGTTGTAATGAGCAAGGGTATTTTTTTTTATCAGATTTGTGAAATTATGGATCCTTAACAGTGTTGTATTATACTCAAGTGACAGTTAAGGTCCTTGGGCTTCTAGTTTTGTTTATATTTAACAATGGAGGATGATGATAGCTTATTACCCATATGTGTTTTAATGAAAGCAGCTGCTTATCTTTTAAACAATCGTAGAAGAAACAAAAGAACATGGACAAGTCCTTGGTTAGGGCATCGAAAAGACATGGTGCACATCCTCCTTCAACTTTGACAGAATATTTTCCAAAGCTTTCCTCCCATAATCCTTATTGTGATAATTAGTGGAAGAAAAATTCCATAAATCTACTTCTTGGTACAATTCTACTAATCTTTCAGTTTGTTCAGTAGTTAATCTAAGTTCTTCTTTCAAGCCATTTTGAATTGAAATTAAAGCACATGAAAGAAAATGTCCTCCCAGGACTTCCCCCACATTTTAATTGCATTAAAAAAGATTGATATCGAATTATCTGGAGAAAAAGTATGGGGGAAAATCCACGTTAATTGTGCTTTATTTAGATCAACCTCTCTGACCTTGTCTATGATTGGTTAGAACCATCTGACTTGCCAGACGGAATAGAGCATTTGATTTCATATCTGGGCTCATGATTTTCCTATTTACACAGTCTGATTTGTAAGATGTGGCGAGTCACATCTTACAAGTCAGACCGTGTAAATAGGACTTTTGATGCATATCCCTTTGCGGAATCCTTGGTGACTGGTCAGTCTTTAACTCATTAATTAATGTTTAACTAGACAGATGTAACTGAGCTGTTATCAAAATGTTATAAGCATGTCCAGCAGAAGCCTTGAAACTCTGCATCATTACTCCCATGGGACAAATGGATTTATATGATCTGCTGTGTGATGCTGTTAACTCTGCATTTTGTAGTACAATGTAATTGCATATTCATGTCATTGAAAACATATTTTTTTTATTTGTTATAAAGCTGTATATGATGAAAAAATGTGTATTCCCATTTTGACGCAACATTTTTAAATAAAGTTTCTGCATAACTCTTACATATGTAGGAATTACCAAAACACCTGTAAGATGAAAAAAATTGTCCAATCATGATGAAAATACCAGGTGCACCTCTTTACATGGTGAATAAAGAGTGTACAAATTTTCAAAGAAATCCATGCAGTAGTCTTCAAGAAAATGTCCAGACATGACTAAGTCCAAAAAATGAAAAAAAAAAAAAAAAAAAAAAACACCTGTAAACTGAAGGAAAATTATCCAATCATGATGAAAAAAACCAGGCGCACATCTTCATATGGTGAATAAAGAGCGTACAAATTTTCATACAAATCCAAGAAGTCTCCAAGAAAATGCCCGGACAAAATAATGTCTACAGACAGATGGAAATGCTGATTCCAATAAAGCCCCCTAAACTTCGTTTGCAGGGGGGGGGGGTATAAAAAGTAAGTCACTGTGACCCACATTTTTGGTGGCCCAAAAGAGACCCCAAGTCATCAACTGACAAAGTCTGATGATTCTATAATGCTTAGTTTCTAAATTACCTACCTAAAATGTTTTGAAAATGAATAGCCATAAAATTTCAGAAAGTAGGTCAATGACATTCTTTTAAAGTGACAAACTTTCAAACCTTAAGATGCATCAACTGACAAGAAATTATCACTCTAGGCTTCACATTGTCCAAGATAAGCATCTAAAACAATTGAAAATGTATTGCTGCTAAATTAAAAGTAGGTCACTTTGACCTGTTTTGGGGTTGATATATCCCAAGGCCGTAAGATATATCATCTGACAAGGTTTGATGATCCTACGCCTTTTAGTATTAAAATTAGGAAGATTTGACTGTGAATAATGATAAATTTAAAAGTAGATCACTGTGATCTACTTATCAAGGACACGTCCCAGCACCTCAAAATGCATTAATTGGTTAGGTTTAAAGACCCCAAAGGTCACATCGTCGCAAGGCACGGGTTTTGTGTCCATTCTATTTCCACAAACCCGTGGCTGTCTCCTACAAATTTCTCTCGTTCTCATGAATATTACTAACATACATTCAACCAATGGAATAACATCTGACGCTTCAAGTCAGAACCAATGAAAATGATCAGTCTATCTTGTATTTGGATGTAACCATAACCACGAACTGTACATCAACTTCCGTTCGAATTTCCTTTCTTAACGAGTAACGCTATTCAGCGTTCTCACGCAACATTTACATTCGAAACCCTGTATTTTAATGAAAACCTTGTAAGTATTTTAGAATATACGTTACTCACCTCTGTTCTTCAGGATATGTCGTATTTTTTTCAATAAATCTGCCACGCATAACAAACATGATTTCGTTATGGGCGCCGCCATTTAAGCGTACTAGAAATTGATGCAGAGTAATTTCATTGGTCAAGGTAAATCTGGCGTCACTTAATAAATATTCAATGATTCAGTCGCGAGAACGAGAGAATTTGGTAGGAGGCAGCCACGGGTTTGTGGAAATAGAATGGGCACAAAACCCGTGGCTTGCGACGATGCAAAGGTCATACTGTTCAAAATATATAGGTTTAAAGATTCTAAAATAAGCCGTAAAAATCAGAAAGTGGGTCACTCTGACCACCTTTTATTTGACACACCCTGAGTCCCTAAGACACATTAACTGATAGAGTCTAATGATTCTTAACTTCTTAGAATCTGAAATACCAAGCTAAAATGAATTGAAAATGAATAGCTATAAATTCAGATTTTCGGTCACAGTGACCTCCTTTTTCATCAACACACTCCACGGCCCCATGATGCATCAACTGACAAGTTTAGATGATCTTAGGTTTCATAGTGTCCAAAATATGCATCAAAATTAATACAAAATTAATTGCTGCAAAATTCAAAGGTATCATTTTAGGTCAATCAATTTAAAGTGACCTTTTAACTTTGTAACTTTGGTGATAATCTGCCCAGTAGTTCATGAGAAGTATTTTTAGCAACTACTACTTTTTAAAATATTTTCCTGTTTATCTACCCTTGTTTAAGGGTCACATTCTTATTATTAGTATAAATGAAAGCCCTTAGCCCAAGGATACTCTGTGACAGATTTGATAATAATTGGCTGAGGGGCTCTTGAGATATGGCCCACATTCCAAAATGTTAACACACACCAGGTCAAAACATTAGCTCTATGAGCCTTTGTTGAAGATGGGCTAATAAAATCCTTATCAAATTGATCTACCATTGTGGCCCTACATTACCATCCGTATGATTTAAACAAACTTGAAACTGCACTACCTGTGAAATGCTTGCACAATATTGTTCACTAATCATATTCATATTACTAATCATGGCCCTGCTGTTCTTGAATAGAAGATTTTAAAACATTTTCCCTATATACAAGTAAACTTTGGTCTCTCAACATATCGGTGGGATCACCGGAAATTGTCAAGAAATCAAAGTTGAGACTCGACATCCAAGATTTCATTGAGTGATTAAAAAAATGACAAGGATATTATGTACCTAGGATCAATAATCAGTAAATCGTCTTATTTTCAGCAAATTCTCTTTATTTCAAACACTTAAATTCTCACATAAGAAAAAAAAAGAGATTGTTGAACACAATCAAGAGAAGTAGGTTTTCATATGATTACATAAATTTTCCATGCTATACATTTTCATTAAGGTTTACAAACAAAATATATGTCATGGCATAAACAAATATACTGTAAACCAACTTTCATTCACGTACATCAGTGACTTTCATGACCTTGTTTTACTTGCGACTATTTCTTGCCACAAACTTTTTATTTCATTGTGCAATTGTATACAATATTTTCTTGGTCATTAATAGTCGTCAAAGATAGATTTCAAACTGAAAAATTGTGAATAAAAATTGTTGCAAATAAT